GAATAGAGGTAAAATTTTACAAGGAATTTGGTTAAAATACGAAGTCTAAAATTTTGGGATTTTCATGTGTCTTCGATATAATTGACTTCTTGATTGATCGTACTCTGGTAACTATCACCACGGCATGGGTAACTAATAGATTCGCTCCCTTACCTAAATTGTTAACTACAAATCTATTTGATCTGTATATTCCATAGAATGGTTAAAATAATAATTTGTTAGTATTTAACAAAATAAAAATATAAATTATTTACCCATTATGATTATATTTTTCCTTAATTTTATCAGAAATTTTTTTGAAATAATTTTTCAAGATTTTATTGTTCTCATTATTTAGATCATTTTGAAAATTTTTTAACATTGTTTGAACTTGTTGAGATTCCTTTATATGTTCGTCTTCAGAAAGTAAAAAGTTATTTTTCCACTCGAAATATTCTTTGCGAAACAAATCAATTACTCCATTTTTGAGATCAGGATAATCATCAAATTCCTTGTTAAAAAGATGTTTTTGAACAAATTCTTGATCTGATGTTTCAAGAATTTCATCTTGATCGGAGTTTTTAAATTGCGATAAAATTTTTTGGGGGATAAAAGATTGAATATAATCTTTCGCCTTATTAAGTGTCGACTTATTTTCTTTATTTGCGAAGAAATTTTGGTGAATTATATCAATCAAGGGTTGATCAGTAGGCCTTTTATCAGAATTTTGAATTGATAAAAAGCATTTTTTGTATTCCTTCCATTTTGATGAATTTATATCTTTAATAGAACCTTCCAATTTATTAATCACGTCAGAATAATCTTTTCTAATTCTGTCCTGCTCTAAAAACGTATTTCATTAAGTATTAATACTGAGAATGCTAGCAATTAATTAAAGTTTATTATTTATAGTCACCAGAATCTGCCATAGGTAATTCGGAAGATTTTTCAAATAAACTAATATAAAATAAAGCAAAAAGTTAATATTTTATTACAGACATTCCACAACATTCATTCAAAAACATTCTCGCTACACCATAATACAGACAACAATTTCACTGACGAGATATTTGCGACATCAATCAAAACTTATCTTAATTACTCATTGCATTCAAGAATTTAATGTTTTCAGTACCTTTTTTTGGATATTTTTTGATACAATATAATCATTATTAAAATAACAATAATAATAAATAATAACAAATTGTTTATATAGGTGCTGGACATTCTCTAAATGCCATGAACTTCAAGAATAGTTTTGACTGATGGTAAACTCTTAATTAACGGATTCCGACAGGACTTTTCTACAGCAGAATATTTTCTCCAACAGGATTAATTTTTAAGATCAGTTTAGGGCTATATGATGTGCTTTGATGAACTAAAATGCAAAATAAACTGCCGAAAAATTTTTTTTCTGAAATAAATATTGGAGAAAATACACTGTCTTATCATAAACATAAATTTTAAATACTT